CGGCACGGTGATGCCATGCAGGTTACGGTTGGAGATGATGGAGTTTTGAGGATGCAAGGTCGTGTTTGTGTGCCTAAAGTGGATGGACTTCTTGAGTTGATTCTAGAGGAGGCCCATAGTTCCTGGTATTCTATTCATCCGGGCGCTGCTAAAATGTATCAGGACTTGCGCCAGCATTATTGGTGGAGGAGGATGAAGAAGGATATAGTTGCATATGTAGCTCGGTGTCTAAATTGTCAGCAAGTTAAGTACGAGCATCAGAGACCTAGTGATTTGTTTCAGAAGATGGAGATTCCTGAGTGAAAGTGGGAGCGTATCACTATGGATTTCGTTGTTGGACTCCCACGAGCTCAGGGGAAGTTTGATGCAGTTTGGGTCATTATGGATAGACTGACCAAGTCAGTGTATTTCATTCATATGGCAGTTTCCTATTCTTCAAAGCGGTTGGCAGAGATTTACATTCGTGAGATCGTCCGCCTTCATGGTGTGCCCGTATCTATTATTTCGGATCGAGGTACGCAGCTCACCTCGCATTTTTGGAGGGTAGTGCAGTATGAGTTGGGCACGCGAGTTAAGCTGAGCACTACATCTCATCCTCAGACGGACGGATAGTCCGAACGTACTATTCAGATCTCGGAGGATATGCTATGCGCATGTGTTATAGACTTTGGAGGATCGTGGGATCAGTTCTTTCCGCTAGTAGAGTTCGCCTACAACAACAACTATCAGTCGAGCATCCAGATGGCTCCCTATGAGGCATTATATGGTAGACGGTATCGGTCGCCTATTGGATGGTTTGAGCCAGGTGAGGCTCGATTATTGGGTAGATATTTGATACAGGATGCCTTGCATAAGGTTAAGATCATTCAGGATAGACTTCGCACAACTCAGTCCAGGCAGAAGAGTTATGCCGACCGTAGTGTTCGTGATCTGGCATTCATGGTCGGAGAGAGAGTGTTGCTTCGGGTATCACCCATGAAGGGTGTAATAAGGTTTGGAAAGAAGGGCAAGTTGAGCCTTAGGTATATCGGGCCTTTTGAGATCCTTGAGCGAGTGGGAGAGGTGGCCTACAGACTTGCGTTGCCACCAGGCTTATCAGCGATACATCCAGTGTTTCATGTGTCCATGCTTCGGAAGTATCACGGCGATTCATCCCACATATTAGATTTCAGCATTGTCCAGTTGGACAAGGATTTGACCTATGAGGAGGAGCCGGTAGCTATTCTAGACCAGCAGGTTTGCCAGTTGAGATCGAAGAGTTATCCCTCAGTTCAGGTGCAGTGGAGAGTTCAGCCTTTTGAGGCAACTACCTGGGAGTTCGAGTCCGATATGCAGAGCAGATATCCCCACCTTTTCACCGGCTCAAGTACTTTTCTATGTCCGTTCGAGGACGAACGGTTGTTTTAAAGGTGGAGAATGTGATGACCCAAAAGGTCATCTTGTGTTTTAGAACCCAATTCGATGTTCTGAGGCCTTTAAAGCCTCATCTTATTCATCCTCGATTTTCATGAGCAGTCCGGGTGAGTTTCCGGAAAGCTTTTATGTGGAAAATTGATGAAAATAATAATTTTTGCCTTTAAAAGTTGATTTAGTTGACTTCGGTCAACGTTTTGAGTAAACGGAAACAAACTCTTATTTTGACAGTCCCGGTAGGTTCGTATCGAAATATGAGATATGGGCGTATACCCGAAATCAGATTCGGAGGTCCTTAGCCCGAGTTATGAATTTTTGTTAAAAATTATAAGTCAGAAAATTTAATGGTTTTTAATAAATAGTTAATGTTTGATTTTTTTGGTATCGGGTCCGTATTTTGGTTCCGGAGCCCGGTACATGTCCACTATAATAGTTAAGTCATGTCTGTGAAATTTGGTGAGAAACGGAGTTGGTTTGATGTGATTCGGACGTCCGGTTGAGAAAATAGAAATTTCAAAGTGTTCTTAAGAATTCCATATGATTTGGTGCTAAATTTGTAGTTCTAAGTATTATTTTGGCGATTTGATCGCACGAGTTCGTATGATGCTTTAAAACTTGTGTGCATGTTTGGTTTGGAGCCCCGAGGGCTCGGGTAAGTTTCGGATGGGCTACAGAGTGATTTGAAACTTAGAAAAATTGCTGGTGTTCTCAGCTATGTTGCAGGCCTCAGACCTCGCAAATGCGAGGTTAAGCTTCGCATTTGCGACTGCTGTTGAGGTCGCATTTGCGAGCTTCTCATCGCAAATGCGAAGAGAAGCTGGGCCAGCCTATGTTCGCAAATGCGAACAATCCTTCGCATTTGCGAAGTTGGTCTGGGGAAGGGGAAGGGGGTCGCAATTGCGATCCCAGCTCCGCATTTACGAACAATATGTTCACATTTGCGACAGAAGCAGAAATGCGACAGGTTCGCATTTGTGATACCTTTATCGCATTTGTTGCGAAGCTCAGGTCGTAAATACGACATTTGCAGCTGTGTAAAAGGGGCTTAGATGGGATTTTTCAATTATTCTTCAAATTTTCAAAATAAGAAACCTTCTAGGCGATTTTTCAAAGACCATTTCTTCCCCAATTCATAGGCAAGTGATTCTTAACTCGTTTCTTTCAATCTTTTACTTCATTTTACAAGATTTCAACCTAGAATCTAAGATTTTCATGGTGGAATTGGGGATTTTTGGGTAGAAACTAGGGATTTCAAAATTTGGATATTTAGACCTCAAATTGAGGTCGGATTCCAAAACCAATTGTATATCCGGGCTCGGGGGTGAATGCGTAATCGAGTTTTGGTTCGAATTTCGGGTTTGGACCAAGCGGGCCCAAGTGTTGACTTTTGTTGACTTTTTCAAAAATGGACTTAATTGAATTCCTTGCAATCGTGGGTAGTTCCTAAGGCTTAAATTGAATTGTTTGGTTGGTAATTTGCTAGATTCTACTGGTCTGGAGGCTTGTGTAAAGGGAAAAGCGGTGATTGAGCTTTAAGTTTGGCCGTGGGAGCGAGGTAAGGGTCGTGGCTAACCTTGGCTTGAGGGATTAGGTGTTATTTGCTTACTTGTTACGTGTTTAGATGTTGAGTACAACGTATAGGTGAGGTGACAAGTACTTATACGTTGTTGTCGAGTCATAGCATGTGAGTGAGTTTTATTCTTATAAATGTTGTATTCTTGATCATATTATTCATATTTAGATTATCTATTCGATGTGTTGAGCAATTTCCTATCATGTTTTACTGAATTTGGTTTTGATTGAGTATTGACTCAAAGTTAAGGTTGGTATTGTGGAACTACATGATGAAGTAAGACTTGTTGTAGTCATTTCTATCTTCCTATTATTGTTGTCCCTTGTTTTTGGTGAGGGAGAGTGATAAAGTACGAAGGGTGATGTCGTACACGTTTCTATGATTTATTATGGTGAGGTTGAGTGATAAAGCACGAAGGGTGATGCCGTGCACGTTTCTATTATTTTATATGGAGAGGTTAAGAGTAAAAGCACAAAGGGTGATGCCGTGCATTTTTCGTTTGTTGTGTTTACTTGTTATTACTGGTTCAAGGTGTACTAGCTGTTTAAATTCCTCTATTTTTGTGATTCTTTATCTTGCAACCCCTTAGCATGCTTCCCCTCCCGTTATTACTTGTTTAGCTTCTATTAGTTGTTATTGTGCTCGTATATTATTTAACTGCACAGGTTTATGTATGTGTCTTATCCTAGCCCCGTCACTACTTCACCGAGGTTAGGCTCGACACTTACCAGTACATGGGGTCGGTTGTACTGATACTGCACTCTGTACTTTTTGTACAAATTTCGGTATTGGACCGTGTTGACCCGAGTTGAGTTGCTGCCTTCAATTCTACAGGAGACCCAAGGAAGATCTGTCGGCGTTCGCAGACCTTGGAGTTCCCTTCCAGTTGTTTCAGTTTTTTGTTTCTTTAAATTCGAAAACAATTGTACTTTCTTTCAGCCAGTATTTATAGTGAATCTTAGAAGTTCGTGAATGGTGACAGCAAATTCTGGGGAGTTGTGTATAAGTATTTGGGTTATTATAAAATTCCGCACTCCTTAAATGTGCTATGGTATAAATGTTGTTATTTACTAAATTGTTTAAGAAGTTAGGGGTCGTTTGGTAGAGTGTATAAGAATAATGCTCAATATGGTGTATTAGTAATGCAGGGATTAGTAATGCATGTGTTAGTAATGCAAGCATTAGTTATGCAGAGATTATTTTTTATATATTGTTTGGTGTGGTGTATTAAAAACTAAAATGCATTGCATAATTTTTAAAAAAATTAATTGTTTACAAAAATGCCCTCTATATTCTTTATTTTAAGGGACTTTAAGGACAATTTGGTCTTTAGACATACTAATGCATGCATTGATAGCCTTGGTATTACTAATACCATGGTTTTGCTATGCATTAGCTATACACAGGATAATACCAAATAGGATGTAACTAATAATGCTTGTATTAGTTATACATAAGTTGAAAAAGTATATCAAACAAGGTATTACTAATACACAAAACTAATGCAAGCATTATTTTGTGTTATGCACTCTACCAAACGACCTCTTAGTGTATAAATCTCTAATTATTGGCTTGCCTAGCATCTGAAAAGTTAGGCGCCATCACTGTCCCGACGTGGGAAATCCGGATCCTGACAATAAGTAACACGTATATTCATTTCTACACAGTCTTTATATGCGTTTCCAAGGTTCATACAGATCACTTGCTCGATGAGGGTACGGGCAAGTGAAAATTCATGGTGTTCAGAAGAATCATGTGCAATATCTTTATTCGTTGTCATATTTGCTCGAGAGTACATCAAGACAAATGAAGAGTTTACAAGAAGGAAGATTATAATCTTCTAAGAATTGAGTGTACTATTAGCCTAGATAAGCACTAATTTTCCTTTACGTAAGGGAAAAGGTAGAGAAACTATACGTTATCTTTCACTTCTCAATCACAAATATCAATAAAAACAAAACCAGCCAAATGTAGGCACAAGAACAAAGTAACCCCATCAAAGCATTCCGACAAGAAAGTGCAAAGTGAACTGTATTTTGCTTTTAAGAGGGTAGCCCTCAATTACTCTCAGGTTTCTTTAGCTGCATCCACTATGAAGGGGAACACAAAAAGAAGTGTATTTCTACAATTGGTATTACAACTTCGCCACACACTGGCAAAGGCAGCAGGTGTATTGCATCCGCTGTCTTTTGTTCGAGGTATACATGTAGTAAAAATGTTCTAAAGATACATCTTAATACTAAGTTTAAACTCGCGTCACTAAAATAAAATGTGGGTGCGGAGCACCAGAAAAAGTAGTGGGCGCATAGTACTCCGCCTATGCACCCACGAACTTACAGTCCCAAATCCCCCTCTCATATGACAACTTCAGCAATACCTTGGGAGTTTGAGTATTCTATATCATGTCTAACTCTGACTTACCAGGGATCAAACAATTGAGAAACAAAAGCTACTTCATAACATTATCCGCGGATCTAGCAGCAGATAGACCACAAACAATTATTCTCTGAATTGGAGGAAGACGTTCCTTAGGATGAGATGAAGACCTGGAAGGAGCAGAAACACGTCCCTTGGGAATAAATGAAGAAACATGTTCCCCTTTATGAAATGGAGACCCAGAAGGAGCCATCAAACCAAGCTCACGCATAATTTTCACTCGGCGTGTGCTTGGTGCAGATTTTTCAGCTGTAGTGGTCACCTGAGTGTCCTGCCAACATTCTCAATGAGTTTTGTTACACATCACTGAAGGATTACGTATATAAATATCTACGTACTCGTGTTTCCAAACCATTAAATTTTATTTAATGCCTCCAAGTTCTCCTTTGGTCTGTTGAAGATGTCTCCTTTTTTTAAAAAAAAAAAATCAGGTTTCTTACTCAAATAGTTACCCACCAACCTAGTAATCTGTTGAAGATGCTCTTCAGTTCTTTTTTTGTTGATAAAAGGAAACTCAAGTGAATTGTTTTTGGAAAATATGAATGTATGAAAATGTAATCTTAATACAGAGCGACATCAGAGTAGGACGTTCAATAAGTGCATGGTAACCCAAGTGCATAAGCTTATACTAGAAATACAAGTTTTATGAAAAAGTTTCCGAAAGAGAGCCAATTATACTCACTTCATCCGTGGACCTGTTCTTTCCCTTGAGACCATCACTTTGGGCTTTGCCAGATCCCTTTTTAGTTTTCTGTGGAACTGAGGCATTGGATTTTGCACTTTCTGGCGATTTACTCGTGGAAGGTTCAAACTCCTATAAGAAAAATAAGATTCTCAACTTCAAATCTAAGGCAAAAATATTTTGGACAGGCAAGATTCAAACAAGGAACTCATGAGGCAGAACTTGTCTGCTTGTGGAAGTTAGAGATTTTAGCATCTTTTTTTTTTTCGAGTCTACATTACATTTTAAGTTCTTCTAAGTCTTTTTCAGGTTTCTTTTAGCAGCAAGATGGTTCTCCACTTGAGACCTTCATTTACATGAATCAACCTTTAGCTTCAGAAAACAGGATATGATTAAAGAGAATGGAAGATGTACGCTCACAGATGTTTTGCTGCTTGACTTAGGTGTCTCCGGGATTTTATCTTGCTTTCTTTTTTGGCTTTCCTCTTCCTTACGCTTTTCTGAGCCTAACTTTACTTTTGTCATCTCCTTTGTCTGCTTTGCATCTGCTTTCTCGGCAAAGTACCTTGGCTGAAAACAACATGAAATGGCCTTCGATCAATATATCCAAAGAAGGATGAAAGTGACCACGCAAGTACATAAATCAGGCAAGACTTGACTTGAAAGTAGTCATTTTAGTGAACAGCTCATGCAATTACACTTATAAGTACCTGCTAAATTGGCCCTCTTTTCTTGATAGGGAAAAGGAAGAAAAAAAAGGAGGCCCAGTTTAGCAGATATTTCAACAAAACCAATTTAGTCAATTTGGCCCTTTGTAAACGTAGGGACTGCAAATCAATTCGTTTTCAAGTTTCTCTTTTATGAAATGTTTGCCAACTTTGACATGTTTAGTTCTGACATGTTTAACTAGGTTACGAGCTATATTGACCACATAGTTATTGTCACAATAAAGCTTCACGGTTCTCCAACTTAATATTCAGGGCTCATAGAAAATCTTGAGCCATAACAACTCTCAATTACCCCGTACAATTAATTGAATCACTGCCCCTACACTACATATTGTGATAACTGGTGCTTCTCCTTCCATAGACGCCTTTCCGGATTTGGTTCGATAGGTGTCTGAAGGTCTAAAACCAAGTTTTAACTGTTTTTTTAGTAGATCAACAGTATATGTTTGCTGCGAAGAGTTTACTTCCTTGGATCCTCTATTCCTAAATCCTAAGTAAGTGCTTTTAACTTCCCTGACCCGTTATTTCCAATTCTCTTTTTCTAAATACTTTAAAATATAGCTTCTTTTTCATCTAGAACAGTCCCAATTACCAACAACGTGACTCCTCTTGAGGCCGAATGCTTGTAAAACAATGTATGATTACCCTAGCTTTGTTTGTACTTCATATTCAATATTGCAATCCTAATTCTTCCAAACCATGTCCAAGGAGATCTTTTGAGCTCATATAATGCCTTTTCAGTATGCACACTTTGTTTTTCCTAGATTTATGCTAAAGCAGGTGGAACTTCCGTATAAATTTCCTTGCAAGATATCTAGGTAAAAAAGGCGTTCTTTACTTAAGAACTACAGTAAAGACCAATCAGAGTTTGCAACTAGAGATAGCAACACCGTTACTATATCCATCTTCATCTCCGGCGCAAATGACTTTTGATAATCCACCACATAGGTATAGGTTTGTGTATATGTATTTCCTTCTAGTCTCACTTTAAATCTCAATGGATACTTCGGACTTATACACTTCGCTGTGGAGACCATTTGCACCCTTTATAGTGGCTATTGGTAGATCCTGATCGAGGACAGTAAATGATAGCTCAGTATTTACCTCATTCTAAAGTAACGATTCGGTCTAGTTGAACCCAGCAGGATTTATACGTGCTTTATTCGTGCTGTAGTGGCTTTGGGAGTACACGATTAGTTGGCCTAGATGATTCTTAAGAAAGATTAGGAGATTGAATCGACGGGATCTTCTTCAACAGGTGATGTTTCATTACTTTGCATAGCACATTGGTGATTCTCTAAAAACACAAATCCTTTTCTTCATAGATGATGGTCACATCCTAAAGAAAGGACTAGATATATAGCTTTCTATCTTAGCAAATTTGACATTGCTACAATTATAGGTTTTATGAGTGGCAGGATAGCTCCTTTAAGTATATCAAATGACACTTAACAGCTCTAAAATCGAACTTGCTTCAATTATGAGAGTGAACACATACGAAAAATTTTAGGAGCCAATGTAGTTAACTCGTTAAAAATCGGGGTAATATCTAGCAAACAGCTCCATTGGAGTTCTAAAGACGAGGTTTGATTCGATTAATCAGGTAAAAAGCGGAGATAATAGTTTCCCCCAAAATGCAACAGTACTCATCTATATCATTTCTGCTTCATTTAGGCCAGTTTCATTCACTAAACAGCAATTTACTTTTTAGGACAAATTTAGGGTTCTCTACATTTAAGAATTCTCTAAATCTCACACCTATATGAAGCATAGCAGTGAATGTACTTTCAAAGTCAAACAAGCATCAACTGAAAATATTTAGCACAAATTCAACAAAATTATCCACACACAAAAAACAGAATATGGATAAAAGAAAGAAAATGAAAGAAGAACATACCGGCTAAGAAGCTCAAACAAAGTTGAAACACCCACTAGGAAAATGTGAAGTCTCTCCTTTATACAAGTAATCGAAGATTCTTTATTCTTGTACACGTATATTGATTTGGGTGAGGAAGAAAAAGAAGAAGTTGCTTTTATTATTGTTTAGTTTCCCTCTTTTCAGTTTCAATTTTCTTACACCGAAAATTTTAAAAATATACTCCTACATATTATTTTATATTATATTAATAATGAGTTTTGAAATGTAATTTCGATTTCCCCTTGTTTGTGCCGCCCGGTCCAGTGGTGCTGTTATTCTTTTCTTACTTTTCCGACATTATTACTTTCTTCCTTTTAGACACTACTTATTTATTTATTTTTAAAAAGGGATGTACATCACATTGTCACCTTTATATGCTTTTTAAACTTACTAGTGTTTCTACTAAATCTTCAGAAAAATACATAAATATTTATATTACAAGTTTGTTTGAGTTACGGAACAAAAGTTAAGAAAAAGTATAAGTTTTTGAAAATAATGATTATTGATCATATAAAACGAACTCAATAAAAGAAAAAATTTCTCATAAAAGTATTCAATTCGTTTAAATCTATATTATTAAACTTACATGTATTCCAACTTTGTTTATTTTAGTATAAATAAATATAGAATATAATCTTTTAACAATTTGTTATATAATGAATCTTTGTTTGCTATCTTATGTACAAATTTCCACCATCTTTTGCTAATCTTATTTAAGTTATGGTGATTATTCACTTTTGGCCAAATTTTTGAAAAATAGATTTAAAATTAAAGAATTAGATTATAATTAAAAATAAAAATACTAAACGGATTAAGGGGCAATCTTGTAGTACTTTGGAGAAAGCATAAGATTAAAAGAAATTAAATAAAGAACTCTAAATGTAATGGAACTAAGAATTATAATCGGTTCGAGGATCCACGGGGAAAAGAAATTATCTTTTTGAATTTGAAAGATTATAAAGGATCATTTTGTTGTAGTTTACGTAATTGTAATAGGAAAGAATATATAAGTAGAATATTACTCGATTTAAATTTCTAAATTTTAGGAAATCATATATAATTCAAAAGAAAGAATCAATAACTAATATTTTAGTCGATTTTAAAGTCCTAAATATTAAAAAATTATTAAAGTACAAATTTGTCCAATCTAAAATTATTTTTTAAAGGGTAAAAACGGCGAACGACATTTCGCTAAGAATATTCATGCTTTTAATAGAGTGTATAGATACTCCTACTAACGAAACTTCTATAATTTTTAGAAAGAAATAAACCAATGCTAAAAATTGCACTAAAATTAAATTTGAGCTCGTATTATAGGACATTAATTTGGAATGTAAAGAGTATTATGTGTAAAAATTCCCAGGATTCTTTTTCTTTTGACTTCAGATATTATATTTTTTTCAGTTTCAATCAGATATTGTCAAAACGTCTAGTATTTCATATACAAAAAAAATAGATGGGAGAATGCTCAAAAGATATAAACAAAGAAATCTACCACGATAACTTAAAACGATATCCACATTATGATGTCAATCATGCATTTTGGAATTGAAAGTTTTGAAAACTTACTCTATCCTACTTAAATTATTTGCTCAATGTAACGACTCGGCCGGCCGTTTTGAGAATTTAAGTTTCGTTCGGCGGCGTAAGGTCTTAAACAGCTTCATAATATGTGTATCGATCTGTGTGCATGGTTGAATTCAATTATCAGAGGATTCGGAGTCGAATTGGAAGAATGATTCTAGTTTTGAAAGGTTAAGCGTGAGAATTTGACCGGAATTGGACTTTTGAATAAACAGCTCCGGAATGGATTTTGGATGATCTCAACAGCTTCGTATGGTGATTTTGGACTCAGGCGCGCGTCCGGATTCGGATTTGGAGGTCCGTAGGGTAATTTGAGGCATTTCGACGAAAGTTGGAAAAGTTGAAGTTTGACCCATAGTTGACTTTTATGATATCGGGGTCGGAATGCGATTCCGATAGTTGAAGCAGCTCTGTTATGTCATTTTGGACCTGTCTGCAAAATTTGGCGTCATTCCGAGTTGATTTGATTGGTTTCGGCACAAGTTTTTGAAGTTGGAAGATTTGGAAGTTCATAGTCCGATTCATGGCGCGATTTGCATTTTCGGCATTGTTTGATATGATTTGAGACCTCGAGCGAGTCCACGTTAGGTTATAGAACTTGTTTGTGTGTGCATAGGGGGTCCCGGAGGCCTCGAGACTGTTTCGAACGAGTTTTGGGTGTTTTGCATGGTTTTGGAGCATGTCTGATTTTTGGTGTTTTCGCACTTGTGACCTTGGAGCGCAGGTATGGCTCCGCTTCTGCGTGAGCCTGATCGCACCTGCGATCTTTGAGGCCTGGAAGCTAGCTCGCTTCTGTGAATGCTGGAATGCAGGTGTGAAACCGCTTCTGCGGTTGGTCTATCGCATCAGCGAAGGAGTCCGCTTCTGCGCTCCTGTTATCACTTCTGCGGCACCGCTGATGCTGCTAATTGTCTGCAGATGCGGTCCTTGGCATGTGTCACGATACAAAACTAATCCGGTCGTGATGGCGTCTATCGTAAAACTAGGCCAGCCGACACAAACCCCTAAAATCAACCAAACATTTATAATAAGTCATTTAAAGCCATTAATTAGCTAAAATCCCAAATATAAGTTAAAACTAACAGTGCGGAACATAACACAGCCCGACATCGGGGTGCACCAGTCATGAGCAACTACAACTCGTCTAGGAATAAGAAAGGACAACATAGTCTAAAAACCAAAAGCTAATACAAAGCTGAATAAGATAGGAAGGAGAAGCACTGGGCTGCGAACGCCAAACAACTACCTAGTCAACTCCGGAGACCTGCTGGATGACTGATCAGCACTCACTATCGCACCTCGAGACTCCTGGATCTACACACGAGGTGCAGGGAGTAATGTGAGTACGCCACCTCAATAAGTAATAAAAGTAAAAGCAGTTGAGCAGTAAGAAAACACGTAAACTACGTCATAACGCTACAATAAAACAGTTCAAGTCCAGAACAATGTAGTAAAGAAATAAAACTCGTAAAACAACTCAGTTCAGTAAAACCTTTTAAAACAACTTTTAATAGTTTCAAACGAGTGATGAAAACAATGAGTAAAAGGATAGAAACGTAAATAGTCCCTCGGGCAAAACATATACCACAACCGCCCCTCGGGCAAAAATGTCAACAGAACCAGCCCCTCGGGCTACCTCACAATCACTCGTAATTATCCCCTCAGGCAATAACATGAAACAACAATAGCCCCTCGGGCAATATCACATCTCACACTGGGTACTCGTGCTCATTGGGGGTGTTCAGACTCTGGAGGGGCTCCTACAACCCAAGCGCTATAACAAGCCATCTCTGGCATAACAAATCAGCCCCTCGTCCTCTCATATATCACAATCAGTACACATGTTGCAGCGCGCAGCTCGATCCCATAATATCCTCACAACACAGACCCTCGGCCTCACTCAGTCAAAAATCTCTCAAGCCCCTCGGGCAACAGTAAAATATGATGCTCAACCCAAAATATCATTTAAAAATATCAAAACGAAGTAAATACTACTGAGTTATGAAAACAGTAGAATACAACGTGACTGAGTACAGGTATTAAGTCAAAACAGTGAGAAATAATAGTAAAAAGCCCCTAAGGGTCCAAAACAGTTGGCACGAGGCCCAAAATATGGTAATAATTTCCAAAACACAATGATATCAAACAAGTTTTAATCAAATACGCGACGTAACATTCATACGGGACGGACCAAGTCATAATTCCCAACGGTGCACGACCCCACGCTCATCATTCAGTGTGTGCGTAACCTCACAATAGTACAACGATGTGAAATCCGGGGTTTCATACCCTCAGGAAAATATTTACAATCATTACTTACCTCAATCCGGTCTAAACTCTAGCCCGCGATACCTTTGCCTCTCGACTCGGCCTCTGGATGCTCCAAATCTAACCAAAAACAGTACCATACCATCAAAATATGCTAAGGGAACAAAGCCCACTCGAAAATAACCAATTTACATAAAAAATCTCGAAATTGGCCAAACCCAACCCCCAGGTCCACGTCTCGAATTCCGGTAAAAATCATAAAACTAGAATCCTTACACTCTCACGAGTTCATACATATAAAATACATCAAAATCCGACCATAAACGACTCCTCAAAGTCTCCAATTTCAAGCACTAATTCCCCAATATTTGGCTTTAAATCCCATAAATTTCATGTCTAATTAGGTAGAAATTACCATAAAATCAAGTATTGAGTTCAAAAATCTTAACTCCAAGTATTTCCCTTCGATTCCCTCTTCAATACCTCTCAAAAAGCTCCAAATCCAGCTAACAATGGAGAGAAATGACCTAAAATTCGCGAAGATGGCTATTTAAACATTCTGCCCAGGTAAATTTCCTTAATCGCGATCGCGGGAAGACCATCGCGATCGCGAAGCACAAACTTTGCTGACTCAGAATTAACCCTATGCGAATGCATCTCTCTCCACGCGAACGCGATACACAGCTCCCCTACTCCTATGCGATCGCGGACCAGGGACCGCGTTCGCGATGAACAAACGCCTAGTCCAGCCTTGGTCCACCTAACCTTACACGAACGCGACTTAACCCACGCGTTCGCGATGCTTTACCTGCACATCTCTCGCAATTCCAGCCCCAAATACGCGAATGCATAGAACAACATGGACTGCCTCTGCAATTGCTCTACGTGATTGCGAACCTCCTCACACGATCGTGAAGAAGAAGACTCTGCAACAGAACTGAAGGAAAATCTGTAACTCTCAAATTCACAAACTTGATCCGATAACTACCCGAAACTCACCCGAGGCCCTCGGGACCTCAACAAAACATGCCAACACATCTCATAACATCATTCAAACTTAGTCGAGCTTTCGAATCACTCAAAACAACATTAAAACACCAAATCAACCTCGAATTCAAGCCTGAGAATTCCAAAATTTCCAAATTCCGCTTTCGATCAAAAAGTTTATCAAACCTCATCCGAATGACCTGAAATTTTGCACACACGTCACAAATGACACAAAGGACCTACTCCAACTTCCGGAATTCCATTCCGATCCCTATATCAAAATTTCCACTATCAACTAGAAAACGCCAAAATTTC